AAATAGGAATGTGAAAAGAGCTAAGCCTCAATATGATTGTGTAGTTTTAGAATCCTCTGAATTATTTTAATCATAAATATATTAATGTATGTTTATAGTTTATTTGGTACTCATTCCCTATCTTGTTTAATTTTACAGACAAATATCAATCAAATTCTTCAGAATGCAAAGGCTGCAGACAAGTGCAACAGAATGAAATTAATGATAATGATCAGACCAGTCAAGTAAGTTTTATACACAGTGTAGCTTCTCCAACAAGTTTATGTTCTTCATTTATCATATTTCACTTATCTTGCCTCATTTTTGTCTGCTTTCACTTACTTCAAGAAATTCTTCATTGTTGTATCTACATTTTGTGTTGAGCTTCCAGTTGTACAGTCACTACATAAAGTATATACAAGGTGGGTCTGAAGGATGTCAAATGAACACTGCAACCCTGTTGTCTCAGTTGGGTTTTCAAAATCCTTTGTCCTTTCCCTTTCTTAATTTGGGGAGTTATGACACTATAATATACTGTACTAGGGTTACCGGATGAATATATCAGGGAAGCTTCTGGTACAGCACCTGGATCTTCTTAAAGTATGTTATAGATTTTGTTTCCACAAATTGTAATTTATGGTATCCAATATAAAAGTTACTTTAAAAATGTTTTTAATCCCTTCCCCACTACTGTGTAATGCTGTGTCCAGATTCAAGGGAAAATATAATATATACTGTACTAATGCTACTGTACTCATAATTTCTCCCTTCATTCGTTGTTACCCTTTATTCTCACTGTTGTGATTATCTGGTTCCTTTAGGTCACATTACTAGCCTTTCACAAGATCCCAATTTACACCATCACTCAACATAACCTAACATCCATCAGCAGCATATGCTTCCCAAAATATAATTCAACACTATGCTCTCCACTAATTTGTACATATTGCTGCTTCTGAATGTCATGCCCCACACTTCAAGTCATTCCGCACTTCTTCTTGGTCTTCCCTCTCACTCCCACCTTTGAATTATGCATACTTTTTAGCCACTGCCTACCGTAACACTTCCATAATTTTCATATCTTCTCCAGTCCTTCATCTCTTATTCTTTATATCCTCTACATATACACTGTATTGTATATTGTTTCCAAGCTCTTCATATCTGTTATTTCTAAATTGCTCCTTACTATTACATCCAGAGTTCAGCACACCCATATATAATGTCTCAACAATTACTGTACAGTACATATCGAGCTTTGTCTACTTTGATGTGATTGTCTCTCCTTATATATTCTATTTCGCATTGCACCTATTACAATCAAACCCCATTTGGCATCCGGCTCTACCCCACTCAAATTATCCAGAGAGTACAAATTATCAATGCTTCAGTGACGACGGTGTTGTAACTGTAGGAGGACCAAACTGACACATAAATAGAAAACATACAGTCAGTTCTGCTATAACGCGATAGTTGTGTTCTTGTAAAACATCGTGTTATAGAAATTGCGCTAAAGAAATAACAGGGCTTATGGAGAAAATAGGGTTAGGTGCAGATTACTCAAAATTGAAAAAATTTTAGTAGTTAGCCTAACACAAAGGATAGCACAGACTAAATAAATGTTACATTCATATCTAATAATGAAATCATACAGTAAATGTAACACTTTACCTTGAGAAAATATGAATATAACTTGATGGGGAGAAGGGTGATTTTGAGGTTGATAACATCGAGCTTCTCTTCAAGTGTTATAGCTTTTCTTTTTACTATCATCACGGAATGCATCACCAGAACGCTTTGGAGATATTCTTTCTTTACCATATTCACAGTTAATACCACAAAATTGGAGAAGAGTAAGCAAAACGTTACAGCAAACAAGCGTCAGATTTTACAAATATCGCCCTCTATTCATAAATCGCGAGCCCATTTCGGTTGTCAGAACACGCTATAGCAGAACTCACTGTATGGCCTGTATATACTTCTCCACTCTGGTACTGTACATACAGGCCAGATACAATATACACAGTTCACCCTGGCTTAAGTTGAACCTAACCATGTATAACTGGTACAGAAATATCTCTATTAGGAATCCTCAAACCCGAACTCTTACCCGAATTTAATTTTTTCGAATTTCCCAGCCGATGAAAAATTCCAGCTTGGGAACGATTTTATGGAAAATTCCAGCTTTGGGAATGATTTTATGAAAATTACTGCTTTGGGAACGATTAAAATACTGCTTTGGAACATTATGGAAAATTTCAGCTTTGGGACATTATATGGAAAATTACTGCTTTGAACGAAAATCAGCTTAACTTAGGAAATTATGCTTTGGAAAGATTTAAAATTACTGCGGGAAGATTTAATACTGCTTGGGAAAGATTTAAATTTAACGATTTATAATTGGAAAATTACTGCAAAGATTAAAATTCCATTGAAAATACTCTGGAAAGATTTTATGGAAAATTCCAGCTTTGGGAACGATTTTATGGAAAATCCCAGCTTTGGGAACGATTTTATGGAAAATTACTGCTTTGGGAAAGATTTTATGGAAAATTACTGCTTTGGGAAAGATTTTATGGAAAATTCCAGCTTTGGGAACGATTTTATGGAAAATTACTGCTTTGGGAAAGATTTTATGGAAAATTCCGGCTTTGGGAATGATTTTATGGAAAATTCTGAAGAGAAGAATTCCCGGTACCCGGAAAATTCCAGGGATGGGGGATTTTTTTTCCGGGTTTAAAATAAGAAAATTAAGTCCATTTTCTGGAAATTCCGAAAAAACTTTTCCATTACGGGTACCCGGAAAATTCTAGGGATGTGGGATTTTTTTCCGGCTTTGAGAGAGTCGTCTCGTTACCCGGAAATCTCTCATTCCCAGAAGCACTCTGCACCAATTGTTCCGGCTAATGGGTATATCACGGTATAAGAAAAATGTGTGCATTATGTTCTTTCCTAAGAAGCAGGTGAAGATAATTGTTAACCTTAGCTCCCCCTCCCCCCAAAAAAAATCATTAATAACGAAATACAGACAATCTTGATACAGTATTTTATTTTCTAAATATGCAGGAACCAATCTAAAATATATAATTTCATTGTACCAGCCTGTAGCAGTAGATGCAGGATCACCTGATGTCCTGCTAGACCCTCATATTGAAGCAGTCAAGAAGCAGCTCATGCAGTTTGGCATCAGTTTCATGGACCCAGCTTCTCTTACTACAAACCACAAGTGAGTCGTAGATTTGTATCTCCATCGTAATTGATTTCTGGTTCATCACCTTTTAAACAGGAGATCTTTATGTTCTCCTTTGATTCCTATGTCATTGGGAGAATTCCCCATCCTTAAGGAAATTGCTTCTTGTAGTGTTTCTCTCAAAAAGTTCAGCCATATACACATGTTATAAAAATCTGGAATAAATATTTTAAATACTTATATAAACCATAAATGGAAAAACAAGAAGAAACAGTAAGAGGAAAAAATAATAAGAAAAGAGACAGAGAAGATAATAGGAACACCTCACCCATTACCTGTCCCAATGAATGGAAATAGACAGGATAGGCATGAACAAGTCCTTTCCATTCCAGCTTTTTTTATAAGTACCCTGTATTTAACAGATAAAGGAATAGTAATACTTCCTTGGAAAATAGAGAGAGAGAGAGAGAGGAACATATACACACTGAAACAAACTGTATAAACCACCTTATGACCTGATCCAACAAACATTCCTGCAGGGCTGGGCTAGAAATATCACAGTGACTGTGGTAACTCACAGATACTTAAAACTGGAAAAGGTAGTTAATAAAATGGTGTACAATATATAATATATGCTCGTAGATACAGTACTTAAGCTGGTTTGTAAACCCCTGGTTGGTGAGGGAGTATTGTATAGTACAGTATTTTTATAGTGAATTCTTCTGCAAAAGGTGTTTGAATTTACAGTACAGTACTCTATAATACTGTATAATAAACTAATAGGTTATAGGTTGTTCTTAGTACAGTAGAAGTCCAAAAATCTGGACTGCTTGGGGATTGGGTCGGTCCGGATTTTCGGATTTTCAGGCAGTACTTTTAAAATTCAAATTTAAGGAGGAATAAAGAAGAGATGAACAGATACATTTTGATAGTTTATTCATTAGCAAATATAGCATGCTTCATTTATCAAAACAAGCAGTTTTAAAGAAAAAGCTGTGAATTCTAGAATTTTTTTCTTTGCCTTTTTTATATCATAAATTGTAGACTTTCCAATGTTGTATGTTTCCATTAGAACAGTATTGCTCACACCACGTTTTATTTTAATTATTTAAAGTTTGTCACTCAATTTCAACGTGTTCTTCTTTCTCTTCACACAACGAAGTTTATCTACTTTAGGCGCCATTATTATGGGCTCTGTAAATGGAAAGAGTAGGACTCAAAATTACATACTGTACGTTGTCACAGTTTGATTGCTCATTTTAAAGTGGCGACCGCGTGGTCGCTTGTTGTCGCTGTGCAGCTGTGGCGCTCACGCATGCGCACGTACACACAAAAGCCAGCTAAAAAAAAAGTTTGAGTTTTCGAAAAGTCTGGATTCTCGGGTGGTCCGGATTTCTGGCATCCGGATTTTTGGACTTTTACTGTATTAGAATCAATCTCTCTCAGTTTTGTCTGAAGTTGAAATATACTGTACCACGAAATGAACATCCACATGCATAATATTATTATGCCTTCTTCTTAGCACTCAACCCCATCTGTATATAATGATCATATTTCATGAATATTTAATGAGATTTAGATTTTACAGCTTAAGCTATATGAGAAATACCCCGGTAATTTTGGGTCTTGAGACCAAATTTCTTAGAAGGTTCCACTTTTAAGAATTGACCTCAACTTCCTGAATTTGTTTTCTCTTCCAACCCTCACTAAGTATTAGGTGCATTTGGCCCTGGGTGAGGGATGGAAAAGAGAAATGCATGTGTGTGTGTGTAATCTTATACCGGTACATTATGTTTATTGTACTGTTTAACATTACAGTACACTATATATATTATGTTCAAAATTTTCAGGGCTGTTATGGACACCATGTATGTTCCTGGATTCCACAATATGCTGTCAATGTATCAAAGTACAATCAGCACCCACTACCTTGAAAGTGATGCTATGGCTGCCAAATATCTTACAGACTCACAGTTAGCAGCCATCGCTGCAATGTCTCCTGGTAAGCCTTACCTATTCTCTAAAGACTGTATCTGTTTATATATATTATTCACACAGTATTCAGTGTTAAGTAAATTTATTTATCAGCTGAGGTAAACAGGATCAAAAATGTATCTGTGCACATTGGGTCTGATGATTTCCTGATTGATCAATACACCACCAACATGATTTATCTGTTTTCTTCTGAATGTGCATATAATAACAATATTTACAGTGGATAAAACAGGAAATGTTGCTAGCTAGCAATACTGTATATGGCATTTTGCAATACTGTACTGTACTGTATACATCATCTGTGGTGTCAGGATTGTTTCATGCAAAATGTGCACAAATACTTTTTTAATTGTGTGTACATTTCATATAATTGGACATGAAAATAATTATCTTTGACATAGAAATTACCTTTAGTTTCATCCAAAACATAATATATTCAGGTGTCTTTTTTTACTATTGCAAGATGCAATATGACCAGAGTCAACAACAACATCAATTGCTGTTACTCGTTCACTTTTAGTGCTTTAACATGTGTTTTACTACTTTGTTCCCCTTCCACAACATGGCCTCAAATTCACTATCTGGTTTGTCTGTTACTTCCCTTGTAAACCACTTGATACTGTACTGGTACCATGTTCTCCAACTAAACACTCACACATACACTCACTTCATGACTAACTTCATCTCCATCCCCTTCACTATCAGTACCTTCTTTATGCCATCTTTCCATTAATTTCTTGGTCTTCCCCTCTTATTTCCTGTTATTCACTTCTAAACTGAATACTTTTTACTAATCTTGCAATATGTCCTCACCACCTTAGCAAGCCCTCAGCCTTTTATCAAATATTCCTTTCACTTCCACATCTCCCTATTTTGGTGTTTTGTCTTCTCTGAATCCAGACTAGCCCATATATTGCTCCCAGTCAGTCAGTCAGTCAGTCAAGCCTCTTTTTGTTGTCTTTAACTTACTTATGTCTCTTGCATCCAGAGTCCTTGCTTCACACTTTAACAGTAAATTTAGCTGAACTTTACATCCCATCTTGACCTCCTTTGATACATTTCTCTTTCTATGCTTTACTTTGATCAGCACACCTTTTACCTTCTCTTCAGTTATTCAATGATTAATTCACTCCCAGATATCTAAAACATCTTTGTTCCATTTAAGCTAACATTCATTTTCTCCACATAAAGTACAGTATTCATCTTTTTACTTTAGATAACATTTAATTTTATTTTTTTTTGTACTACAGTACAGACTTTTCCAAACTCTTTCATTAACAGTTGTAACTTTTTCTGAATCATTTACCAGTGCAGTGTCAATTATAAAGAGTAACTGCCTTACAGTGTCTCCAAATTGTGACCCTTATTTGTAGTATACTGTACTGTATACCGGCCAAACTTGCTCTCCTCTTCATTACTCTTGCCCTGCACACTGTAACCACTCCATCCAGCTGAAATATTCATATTTGTTTGTTATTTATAATTAGTATTTCCAGAATTTGTAATTAATTTTTCCGTGCAACCACACCATGTTATCCTGTAATTTTTATGTACTGTATTTATGTGTTTATTAATTGTTCTTAATGTTTCAGCAATGAAAAAAAGGAATGAAGGTGAAGGAACAAGGAAGATCAATGACTCTACTGGCCCAGTTGAAGTTATTGGCAGCCAAGAAAGAATGCAAAGCCAACTCTACAAATTTACTGTGAATAACAACTTTTCTCTGGCCACCAAAAAATTCCTCGAGAGATACGGATTACATGATGACTGACTTTATCTTGTTTTCTGTAATCTGATATATGGATAAATATGAATTTCTGTTAAACTTGCAATAGGAATTTGTGGTGTTTTAAGCCTACAGTATTTATGTTTTTAGTACAGTATTGCTGATCTAACCCCTGTCTATGCAAAATCTAATTGAAATACTGCAACTTCAAATATTTTTATTGAGCACATCATGTTTACTTCATTTGCTTTTGCTTTTATTATTCTTTTTCTTTTGATTGATTTCTTTTTAATCATCCGCACAAATACTCTATGTTTGTATGATATTTTAAAACCATTTTTAAACTCTTTCACAGGTGAGTAAGTACAGTCACAAGAAAAAATCCTATCAGTCCTCTGTTCCATCCATGAACCCTGGCACTCGTGAACCTGTGAATCCGAGACATCACACAGTACACCATCTATGGGCTCAACAATGTGAGATGTTTCAGATTCACAGGTTCATGAGTCTCAGGGTTCATGGATGGGGGAGGACTGACAAAAGAATGAAAATGAGGTTCACCTCCATAGAGATCTTATTTTTGAGTGAATGGTTCTCAGTTATTTCATATGTACCCCAGAAATTCTTACATATCCCACAACAAAATTTTTTCAGAAATAAAGGATTTTAAGTCTCATAAATGCTTATACTTTTCACCTGATCCTCACTTTATGTGTACAGTACTTACTAAATGCAAATTCGCTGTTGTGTGAGGACCCTACTTCTACCTACAATTTGCTTAAAGTGAAAAAATATGCTATTATGCAATCTGCTAGATATGATGCAATACAGTACAGCATGCCCTGACAATTCATGGATGACACCCTGGATGTACCCAAGAATGTCTGCGGGTAGTTTTAAAGTTGCCGGCATTTTCGTGGCCGGGACAGGGAGCCATTCGTTCTAGAGACAGTAATTTTTACGAGGAAAAAATTGCCATATGGCAACCCAACCAACTCAACTTTAACATTTTTCTACATTTCAATACATTTTGTTTTGTTTCTGACTGATTATTTGTGAGAGGATTTTCCCATTATTATTCATTTGTATATATTTTTTTGTGTATGTGTGTGTGTGCTTACACACGCACATATACAATACAGGTAAAAGAAATAATTATCCTATGGGTAAACACATAAAAATATACAGTACATTTCTTTGCACACGAGTTAAAATGTAACCCCCCCTCCCCGGTAAGCAAATGATATTTTCGGATTTGGCGATTCACGGCAATTTTGAGACCCAAACCCCCAGCAATTTTAAGGGTATGCTTTTTTTGGACTGAGATACTCTAGTCACCAGCAATGGGGAGATTAATAAAAAGTCTTATTCAATGAACAACATTTACAGTGGTGTAATCAGATTTGCTATAGGCCTACTGAGAACTAGGACACTTGAGTATGTAAGCAGGCTGGGACTGATCAGATGTTGCTGCATTCGTCAGGATTATTTAATTATTGATTCAGTATTATATTCTCATATGATTGCCCTCTTATGGTTTATGGTTCATCATGATTAATATAACATCTTCAGTAATAGAGGAAAATATAATACTGTATGTAATTTGTAATATGACTTGAAAATAAAAGGATAAGCTGTATCAAGATGTGTTCGTGTGGGAGCTTTTAGTAGAACAGCTTACAACAGGGGTCACTGTAACACACTGTATAGTATTGATATGAAGATACCTTACTAAAAACATTATTTACTACCTTTGAGTGTTATATGATGGCTTAATTTGGCTACTTGTACACTTAGACAAATTATTAATGAATAAACCAGGGTATATGCAGATGCATATTACTGTACTGTACAATACAATATTACATAAGTGATGATAAACACACAATAGTATTTATTAAATGGTGATAAATACATGACTGTAATGTACTAATTTAATGCGTGTTGAAGACAGACATTGTGGTAAGCCAATCAACTGTTTGCTCTTTGTGAGCAAATGACAGTTCAGTGCGGGATTCGTTTTTCAGGAAAGCTGATTATTTTAGGATATTTTATCAACCTTGCGCCAAATGATATAAATAATATGAGAATTATGGTGAGAATTGCATAAAGAAATGTTAAAGGAATCTTGTGGGAGAGAGTACCCACCCTCCCCTCTGCCAGCTGCTCCCAGATAAACACTTGTCTTCCACATAAACCCTAAATCACACCTTGGAAACCCATAGTTGATGAGTAATTAGCATTGAAATATGTCAGTAAAATATTTCAAGGGATATTTTGGCCACTAATTTCACTGCAATCGAATTGTGGACCACATATGAATAATCAGCAAGCTCAGGAGTACCCACACTGTGATTTTCAGCAAAATCTAATTTTTGGCCAAAAACCACCAAAAATGTAAGTCTTACACCTTACAAATTTTTTGACCAAAATATACTTTTTTCTCAGAATTGAAATTTAAGGGGTTTAGCTAATTAATTACTTTCAGAATAACACACAAACCCTGTATCACACCTTGGAAACCCATAGTTGATGAGTAATTATCATTGAACTATGTCAGTAAAATCTTTCTAGGGGCATTTTGGCCACTAATTACTCTGCAATCGAATCGTGGACCACATATGAACAATCAGCAAGCTCAGGAGTACCCACTGTGATTTTCAGCAAAATTGAATTTTTGGTCAAAAATCACCAAAAATGTAAGTCTTACACCTTGCAAAATTTGTGACCAAAATACAGTATTGTGTCGGGAAAAAGTGGAGTTTGGGGGTCGGCCCGGTCTCTTATTTCAATTAATTCCATATGTTATGTTGTTCACTTTACGCGTTTCTCACTTTACGCGGGCCGCCGTGGGTTGAATTAACCGCGTAAAGTTAGGGTTCACTGTACGATTTTCCAGCATCTCATTTCAGAACAATGGTGATAGATAGCAACAGGAAAATTTTGCATTTTGGGCCTAAAACCCAAAATTTAAAATGGAAATTGATGTAGGTAGAACACCTCCAATCTCAAAATCAAGGTTATTCCTGAAATCTATAGTACATAAAAATGCATCATTTGATGACCTGTCGTCAGGAAAATTCCTAAAGTTGCACTTCGAATCCTGAAATTGACACACCCTAAAATGATACTCGATTCTTAAACCTTTGTTTCAAGGTAAGAACAAATTTTACTTGAACTGTCCTAAAAGAAAAAAATCATGATAACTGTATTATTTGTCTTGTGCTACAAAGAGTATTTGTTCTAAAACTATAAATGAAAGAAGAAAAATATATTAATATTTATTTCTTCAATATTTACACTGTACGTGTTTACAAATAAAATCAATAAACTTTCATTATATAACCCCTTTATTTCTTGACATCCATACACAAAAAGTGTCTATAATAGTTGTTGACCAATGGTAGGAACATATATATCATACAACCCATTTATTTAATTCAAATTGAGAATCCTTGATGAACCTATTATTATCAATATAATTTTATCAACTGAATATTATTGGGAATTCCTATACAATTTTTTTTTACAAAAGGTGCACAAGGTTTAAAAAATTTATGTTCTTCTACTTAATGACCAATAGCCTACACAAGAGAACTTTCACAATAAATCTATGTTTTAATGGGTTAAGGCAAAATATATTATAGCACTTCAACATAGTAAATTTACAATAATACCTGCATTATAAGTTTGAATTAAAGAGGTTTTATGACTTTATATGTAAAAGTTACTTGCAAATCTACAGGTATTTATCTTATTGTAACTAATACAATGCTGGAAAGCATATTTTATATATAGAGTAACTACAAGATGAGACCCAACTTGTGCAAAGCAGATATATACACCACATACAATTGGCCATTCATCTTTTCTACTGCAAATAGTAATATACATTATTAGGTAGTCAAGTTCAGACAATGGAGTAATCCTGTCCAAATTATTGTATACTGCATAAAATAAAACCAACTCCCAACATATCAACACATAAAGAAAACATAATGTATTGCACTTACTGAGGTCATTACTTAAATACAGTACAGTACTACTATGAAAAACTACTTGCATTTATTTCTTGCAAAAATGAACATACATTAAATTGAAAAGCTCTCTCCACACCCACAAGTTCCCTTGATATTAGGATTGTTAAAGACAAATTCTGCTGACAGTTTACTCTTTACGTAGTCCATCTCCGTACCCAATAGTGTTAACTGAGCTTTCTTGTCGATGATTACACGTACACCTGTAATAAAATTAATATTTTTTAATTGTCTCCCTGCTTCTTTAACAGCTGCTATTTCTAAATGTACCATCTACTCATCAATACCTCATTCACTTACCTGTACTTATTGCCCCCCCCCCCTGCAACTCAATGGCTAATACATAATGATCCATTAATACAGTATTAATAGTCAATATATCACAAATAAAATCATATATAACTGTTAAGGATAACCAGTTATGGCTCATTTGAATGCAGAATTTGAGGAGCTTTGAATCATAATCTGCGAAGTGCCAAAACAGAAAATGGAAGAAAATGCTCAACCACAGGTATATGTTTACAATTGGCTGGCTCTCTGGCTTACCCAGGGGACAGAGGAGAGGTTGGGCAATACTGTACAAAGCAAAGCAAAACATAACACGATATATGGCTCTTAGCAGGTTATTGTCCAGAATTCCTCATTTAATGGATGCAAAGATATAAGCGATTGAAAACATGAGTGAGTGAGTGAGTGGAAAAAATAAGTTTGAAATAAATAATATTTACCAACAAAGTCACAAAAAATTCGCGCTTCCGAGCATTATGCGCATTCACTATAATATTTAACTGTTTGTCTTGATTTTGTAACAAGTTAATTTTGTGATACACCACATAATTATATATAGCACTATTATTCCCTCCAGCAAAATATATTCTATTAAAAACTATAGCAATACATTTTGTAAATTACTATTCTCAATACAAACTCACTGTATACACTAATAATTGGGGGTGATTTGTTCATTTCAGACACTATTAAAGAACTACATGTTGTGGGCTTACTGTATTATTATAACTACAGTATAGTCTGGATTTACACGGCCAATTGAACCCATGGAGTACCGGGTAAAACCAGAAATGCGTGAATGAAATAACAGAACATATGGGATTAATTGAAATAGAGACTGGGCCGACCCCCAAACTCCACATTTTGCCGACACAATATGTACATTGTAGTAAAAATAGTATCTTAACTTTATGATGGTATGCACACACACATAATATAGAAGATAAATATCAATAAGAGAATAAAATACTGCACCAGGTAAAAGAAATATCAAGATTTAACACTTACGTTAGTAGAAGAGATGGGTCGGCATACGTGGAAGGGGGCTGGTTCCGAGGCAGAGGGCAGATTAGTGGCCCTCAGGTGAATCACTGTCACTATCCACCACAGATGTCAGGGCCTCCCTGACAAATCCCTGAAAGTCAATATCACTGTCACTATCACTGACGTGGGCTGGCTGTGGTGGGTTGCGGGAGAAGAACTCCGCGATGTTACGCTGACGGCTAGTGTTGATATTTTCGTGATAAATCTTGATGTACAGCTCCGTAGTTTGCAACAGATGGTTATTGAAGATTTCATAGCGGTGATTGTCAGGGTCGTTGGAAAGGACGAGCTTGAGTTTCTCAGCAAACTCAAAGGCATCCTTAACATTACCATGTGTTAACTTGTGTTCTTCTCGGGCTGCCGCAACACCTGCCTCCTCACTGACGTCATTGTCTTCCAACATTTCGTCGGCAGTCACCTAAGGATCCCTGATCACCTCCATAATGTCTTCGTTGGTGGTCTCTGAGAAGCCTGCAGCTGTAACACTCTGTGCAGCTTCTCTTGCAAGGTCCACTGCCACTGCAACAGACTGAACATCACCAGTCACAGGTTGCCTCTGCCTCCCACCTGGGATACCTTGCAACACATGCCGCCACGCATGACGAATCATTGCCACAGACAGCTGATCCCATGCCTCCACCAAGAAATCAACAGCTTTCTTGACGTAATTTCTTCTAAAACTGTCTGACGCGAACTTCTTGCTCCGCCAACTCTTCTTGCTCGTCGTCGTCACTCTCGCTATCGGTGTCACTCAGGTTCCGCAACTCATCTTTGGTGTTAGTCAAGTCATTAAGGAGCTGAAACTTCTTTGCAGTGAAAGCAGCCTTAACATTACAAATTAATTCTTGATCCATGGGCTGGATTAATGACGTAGTGTTGGGAGGAAGGCAGACCACTTTTACGTTGGGGTGACGATCCAACAGTAGGGGCGAGTGTCCTGGTGCGTTGTCAAGGAGCAACAAAATTTTGAATGAAACATTCTGTTGCTCGCACAATTTCTTCACGTCGGGAACGAAACAGTCGTCAAACCAGGTGAGGGACAGACCAGTGAACATCCACGCCTTACGTGCGGTTAGCCAGTGGACATTTAGCTTGGTCATGTCCAATCCACGTTCTTGTAGGCGTGCGGCTTGCAGGCTGTGTGGATCACCGATAACTTGAGCTTACAGGTACCGGAAGCATTGGTGGTAAACAGGACGGTGATGCGCTCCTTCTGCAATTTCCGGCCCTGACACTTGCTGGCAGACTTGACAACGAAGTTCTTGATAGGTAGCTTTTTCCAAAACAGACCAGATTCATCCATGTTGAACACCTCGTCGTCGGTGTACTGTCCTTCTTCCATAACTTCTCGTAAGAATGGAGGAAAATCACTCGCTGCAACATGGTCAGCACTACCACCTTCACCACCAATGTTAATGTTGGTAATCTTGTTCCTCTTCTTAAACCCTTGCAGCCACCCAGAGGAAGCAGTGAAGGGTTTGGGCTCTGCAATTCCCATCTTGCGTGCCACTGCTACGTACAGTTCACGTGCGTACTCCTGAACTGACCGCGTGTCCACCGCCATGTTCAATCTTGCCTGACGAATCAAGTAGCTCACCAGCAAATTCTCAGTCTTGAGCAGCACCTTCTTCTGACAGTACTTCACCATTGAAGCACCTGCCGACTTTGTGATGCTCATGTGTTCTTTTATCTTGGCGGCATACTTCTTGATCGTCCTGATCGTAGATTCGTTCACGCCATGCTGGCGCACCAAATCAACTTGCCTCGTACCTTTCTCCAACTCCTGCACGATCTTGTCTTAACTTCATAGCTTAAAGCTCGTCGTATCTTCTTAAGCTTGGGGCGACTTAGGCCAGGTAGTTCAAGGTTTTTCTGTGGTGGTGGGGGGTCTAGTGGGAGCCACTGTTGCGAGATTAGCGGGCACACGAGAGAATTGTATACGAGGTAACTGAGAACAATGCGACTGACGCGGGGTAGGACAGCGGCTTCTTCCCTCCCGTGGCAGGGCACATCATATTACATTAAACCAATCACAGCTAGCGGGGAAGGGAGGTAAGGATGCGTGGCCCAATCACAGGCCGATACGTCATATGACGTCAGCGATAACGCAACGACGACATACTGTGCAACCTTACTCGCGCCGCTTCCCGCTTATGGTCAAGCATGGGCAACGTGAATACAAAATGGCGCGGTGTGTCTGGACCTTTCCAGCTGCTCTGCGTAAATGACCAAATTTACCGCGTAATTAAAGCATTTCAATTCTGGCAAGGCACCGCGTAAATGACCAAACGCGTTAACCAAAACCGAGTAAATCCAGACTATACTGTACAGTACAGTATTACAAAGCTACCAATATCTGTACAGTACAGTATGTGTTTTTATTGAAAATACTGTAGTAATTTATGAAATAGAAGTTCAGGTAATTGGAGTGACTTGTTTGTCTTGACACAGTGACCAAGATAGACGTCGTCTTGTTCGGTCATGTTTACTAAAGAGCTTCATGTTGTGAGCTTACTGTATTATTACAATATTATTATTACAGTATAACTTTTACTCAACTTTTTGCAGTACTTTGACCACTACTGAATTGCCCAGTACAGTTTAAGATAACACACTACAAGCTTCCTTTTTGTAACCAATTTTCTTGACAATAAGAATTAAAACTTCTTCATGGGGTCTACTGGCCAGACAAAACAAAATTCCCTGGCTTTTCCAGGAGTAAATTTGAAAATTTTGGGTTACATTAATTCAGTATTTATTAAGACAGAATAACAAAATTAGAGGTTTTCAATAATATGTATATACTCCCTGTACAGTACTCTACTACAGTATTGGGAAATTTAAAGATGTTATACTTAATATTAATCAAGAAATTGAAGACCCTTTCAAGACCCACCCCAAGCCTAGTGATTAACATCGGCAAAGATGTTGACACTCCCCTCCACATTTTTCTCCTTGGATTTGTGTGATTCACGTGGGTCAACCTGGATGTTCCAAAAAAGTCGGAAATCCAGCAAAAACTGGAAAATTACACTCAGTTCCACCTACTATATGACTCATGATTAATATGTGGAATAATCCACTTAAATAAAGTCACTTAATTATAAGAACAATTCCTCTCTGACAATACTCATTAGAGAATTAGTAGGTACAACTTGTAATATTTGGTTATTTGATCACTAACATGAACTATGATCGGTACACAAACAATTCAGTTACAGTATTGGAGTAGACTATTTACTGGAATTTGTTCCTAAAAGTTGAATTATTACCTATTATAGAGTACATCATTAATTTATGGTAAGATTGCTCTCAAAATAACAATATTATGAAGTTGAACTGAAATTCACATAAAATTCCAGGTTTATTTGTAAAATTCTCTGCCCTTTCCAGGTTTTCCAGACCAGTAGACACCCTGTTCTTTCGAGAAATTAGTATAAAAGTAAATGAAACAAAGAGTTTACTGAATACTATGTTCAATCATGGACAAGTCTTTGGACTAGCGTACTGTATATCAGTAACTGGCAACTTATACTGCACTGTGTAAAAAGTAATACACTCTGAATGGATGTATCATGGATGCAACTGTTCTTAGCTAATCACCATCGCCCTTATATGTTTGTGCATTCATTATACGTATGTCCATTTAGAGGATTTACTACATCACAATATAAGTTGCTAATTACTGATATATTTGAGACCAGAGATTTTTATCTAAAACTGTACTGTATATGTACACCCACTAAAAAATTATTTGGCACCCTTAAGGTGTGATACAATATGACACGGGTGCCGAATAATTTTTTAGTGAGTGTACAAAGGTATCACTTACCGTTTTGTACAACTTCCTCGTCAAATTTTCCTTTCTCTGTGGCATAATTTAAGGTATAACTCAATCCATTGCATCCTCGCTGTCTCACACCCACCTTCAGGCCCACCTGTGAATTATGCAGTCAATATAATACCTGTACACAGTATCCACTACAAAGGTTTCTTTCAGCCAAAAGGCAAATTATAGAAAGACTATGCTGTAAGGCTTAACCCCCCCCCCCAAAAAAAAGTAAATAGTGTGTGATCTAATACTTTCACTGATAAAAATTTATAACCCTATCTGCAAAATGTTAAGAGTTTGTTGTCCAATGCTTTCAGCATCCAGTGAACTATTAAATCTTTCATTGTAACTTATTTCTTCTAAAATATTGGTTAAGGTGACGTGGAATAACCATGAATATTTATTAGTTACTGTTAAATCTAGCAGGCAAGCAATGCTAGGAGTAGGGCCAATAATAGTAGTGACGCTACATAGCAGCACTATTATTTTAGTAGTGAAACAAGGAGTGCAGCTTCTACCAAAATCAGTAGCAGAACCGGTAGTAACGGTGTTTTTTTCAGATTTGGCACTCCTGAATGATATACTGCACAAGTATTTACAGTTTCAAAAGTGACATAAGTTTAATGTATGGAATACCCATCAGTACAGCAATTACACTTCTCATATCTCCGCCTTCATTGTGTAAAAAAACTACTTGTAATCCTCTCCCATTTTATGACTATGCTGTGTTTTTGCTCGTAACAAGGCTAATAAAGTACTTGGGTTCATACAAAGGAGTGTTAGTTACAAGATAGCGAGGTCATCCTAAAACTGTATCTTGCTCTTGTGAGACCACACCTGGATTACGCAGTTCAGTTCTGGTCACCGTATTACAGAATGGATATAGAATCCTTGGAAAGAATTCAGAGGAGAATGACAAGACTAATCCCGGGCATTAGGAACCTTGAGTATAGAGACAGGTTAAAGCATCTTAATTTGCACTCCCTTGAGAGACGTAGAGCGAGGGGCGACCTGATAGGTGGTGGAAGATAAGTGGAAGGCAGGGCTAAACAAAGGGGACATTACAAAGGTACTCAAACTATCCAACCAGGAGCGAACTCGTAACAATGGTTTTAAATTAGACAAATTTAGATTTAGGCGTGACAAAGGTAAACACTGGTTTGGAAACAGAGTAGTGGATGAATGAAACAAGTTACCAAATATCATCATTAACTCGAATACGCTGAATTGCTTCAAACATAGGTTGGATGCTCATATGAGCAATGGGGGTTGGGTGTAAACGGGACTGCCCAGTATGGGCCAATAGGCCCACTGCAGTTTCCTCCATTCTTATGTTCTTATGTAATCAGAGGAGCCAAAACTCTCTCTCCCTGAAATGCAAAAAAACAGTAAATACACTTTATGAAATAAATTAATAGCTAGTTTAAACCTTGGTATTTTATTAGTACTATTTTCTGTGAATTGTAATACAGGTATGTGTTTCTTCACTGTTGCTGTGCACAGGTGCTTGAAAAAAGTAGCGCCAGCAATAGCAGTGCAACAATTTAAAATCAGCAGAAATATGTTTTCTAACAGTAGCAATAGCACAAGTGGTACTGTTCTATACTGTTAGTGTACCCAGCACTGAAGGCAAGTTTGAACTCGCTAGGCCTTTGCTATCTCAATTATAATATCTTTTAATACACTGTAGAGGTATCCCTCACTATACAAATGGGTTACATTTCTTGAAAACCATTTGCCAAGAGAATATTCGTGTAGCAAATAACACAACATATGGGAAAAATAGGATTTGGTTCCCCAATTACAAGAAAACCCCAATACAGTACTATACTGTACCTAAAAAATTAAATAAGTTCACATACAACAACAAAACTAACTACTGTACAGGTACTGTAAATTAGAACCTAAATACAGGACAGTAAACCCCCGCATTACACGGTTTCACTTTACGAGTTTCCACGTTTACGCGGTACCCTGCCGAAACCGGAATGCTCACTCTCCGCGGTGTGTGTGTGTACCCTTTTACGCGGAGAGCGGCGCGAGCAGGGTGCGCACAAGGTCGCCCAGTCATCAAAACATTACCGAGTTCTTCACCCACCACTCACCACAGCCGGCCCAAGTCAGTGATAGTGATAATGATAGTGAGGATATGCACTTATATGGGCTTTGAGGGGTTTGACAAAGAGGCCCTGCAAGCCTCTGTGGTGGATAGTGATACAACTGATACAAGTGATACAGGTGAGGGCCAATAATCTGCCCTCTGCCTCGGAACCAACCCTCCATCCCCGTGTGCCCAGCCATCTTTTCTACTAATTAAGTGTTAAAAAACCTAATATTATTGATATTTCTCTTAATTATTAATTGTGTGTGCATACCATCATAAAATTAAGAAGTTATTTTTACTACAACGTAGGTATTGTGTCTGAAAAAGTGGAGTTTGGGGGTCGGCCCAGTCTCTATTTCAATTAATCCCATACGTTATGTTGTTCACTTTACGCGTTTCTCACTTTACGTGGGCCGCCATGGGTTCAATTGACCGCGTAGTGAGGGTTCACTGTACTGTAATTCAGTACTGTACCTAACTACAGAACCCCAATATTATACCTAAAAAGATGAAATCAGTTTACAGACAACAAAACCTACCTAGTTACTGTAATATAATACCACATTAAAAAATTAATAAAATATAAATCTGGTACATTACCTTAAGGGACCGTCATTCATGTAAGGAAGAATAGCTTTCATACAGTAAGAATGAAATATATGTACTATAAGCAAATATTCATAGAGTGAACATTCATATAGCGAAGGATACCTGTATAGCAGGCACGGGCAACCTTTCCTCAGTCATGGGCAGCATTACACTTCAGGTATTTCTCTGTGGGTCTACCCACCAAAATTTATATCCTACTTAACCCAAAAGTACTGTAATATTAATATTGTATTAGCAAGGATTTACAATCAGTCTTTTTCCCATTTACAAACGAATCCATCATAAAAAATTTTAAATTAATATATTAATTTTTCTTGGCATTTAACGGAAGATGAGTGAAGCAGTTGGTGAATGCAGTACTCATGTACGTTGATTTACCTACAGTCACGGCATTTTTCTTACTCATGAGACACCCCCACCAGAATAATGCCAATGTTAATTTTGGCATATGAGGAACTACAATGAAACAACCTACAGACACATCTATCTCTCTATCTTTATACACAGTGATATCTCCATTAGCCGGAAATATCCCTCATCCCCGGAATTTTCCGGGTAACAGAAAAATAATTTCAGAAGTTCCAGAAATTGAACATGACATCAACTCTCAAACCTGGAAAAATATCCCCCATCCCCAGAATTTTCCGGGTACATGGAAAATTTTACCCAAATTTGCCCCTCGGAAAATCATTCCCAAAGCCAAAATTTTCCAGAAAATTCCACTTTTGGGAATAATTTTCCGAGAAAATTTCAAATCCAGATATCGAAGAGATCCAGGTTTTTGGGATTCCGGCTAATAGAGATATTACTGTCCACGTTTCCATTGTGGATCTATATCTTATATATTCACTGTAGGTGCGCGTGATCCAGATATATGCTGATAACCACAAGGAAAAAGAAAACACGAAGTTCCCAAGGACCTAAAAGCGTTCCTGCCACAACTTAATAACTTAGCCCCCTCGATCAAATTCACTGTGGAATTAGAGCATGACTGTAAATTGCCTTTCCTAGACTGTCTGATCCACAGAATAGGTAACACCTTTAAGTTCAGTATTTATAGAAAACCTACTAATGTGTGTTCATACATTCATTATTATTCTGCCCACCATAATAGAGTCAAACAGTCAGTATTTTCAACAATGTTTTTACGTGCTTTGAGAATTTGCAGCCCGGAATTCATTGATGAGGAATATAAATATATCTATAATATTGGCTCAAACCTTAAATACCCTAGATCTTTCATAGACAAATGCCTGAACATTACTAAGAAATCTTTTTATAGAACTGATCCCAAGCCCACCCATGACCATAAGAATCTCCTAGTATTACCATTTCACAAAAATTTCTCTCAAATTCCTTTACAACTAAAAACCTGGAACGTCAATGTGGCATTTAAAAACTCATGCACTGTTAAACAGATGTTACTCAAGAACTCCCCCAATAATACAAATGGCTGCATTTATAAAGTCCCTTGCAAGGAATGTAATAGGTTTTACTTAGGCCAAACAGGTAAAGATCTTGTAACTAGACTTAAGCAACATAAATACAGTGTTAGGACAGGCCACGAATCCAATGCTCTGTTCGTTCCTTTGAGGGATAATAAACATTGCATTGACTGGGATAATGCCTCCTCAATATTACCTTGTAATTCAATTGACAGTAGGAACATTATAGAATCTAGTCTCATTAAACATACCGAATCCGTTAACATGAATTTGAGTAACGGTATGTACAAATTGGACAATTTTGTAATTAAAAATATTTGTAACCAGGCGAGAAGGTTGGGTCAGTTTTCCCTCTGACCTGACTACTGACCGCGGTGGTGCTTTTGTAAAGATTAGTAGGGTCATTACCTATACTTGACCTCTGTGGACTTGTTCTCACCCTCCTCTGTATATATATAACTTGTTCTGCACTTATATTTTAGTCTGTACTCACCCCTGAAGATGTGAATTACACGAAAGCGCTTGGGAACTTCGTGTTTTCTTTTTCCTTGTGGTTATCAGCATATCTTATATATTATATATAAGGACTTTTGCTGGCAACCGTACAGTCCCCTACAAAAAAGTGTCATTATCCTTGGTGGTATATGTGGTTTTGTTAGCAGTATTAGTCCACTAGTTTTATAACGGCTGATCAAGTTGACCACAGGTATTGATGTACACCATTATCAACTACAGTATGTGGATAAAATTATCATTAAACATTTTTGTGTAGAGAACTGTCAGAATATCATAAATGACCAGTAATTTATGGTAAATTTTATTCCTGCAGATATTTTATAAATACAAATGTTGTGTAAGTTTAAATACTATCAGGAGTTAGGGAGCAGGCATACAGGTACCAACATATGACGATACACTGGAGAAAATATCAAAACATTTTGCCCAGAGTTTCCAATAATGAAGACGGAAAAATTACAGTAACGTATGAACTAATTAGTTTAATTATTACTGCAGTATTACTCTTATAAAATATAATACCCAGTATGCTAAAACACTCACTGCCTCTGGATTTTTCTCTAGTAACTCTCGGACCTTCTCAACAGCATTTTGTGTCTGAAAGAAAAAGGAAAATTCATTAAAAGGTATTCTGTAATTAAGTGATCACTGCACAGCAATATGTACAGTACCATAATAAAATTCAGGATTGGCCAATTTAAACTAATGGTTTAAACCATGATTTACACCAAACAAAAAACATATACTGTATATTTTTTTTCCATTAATTACAGATGGTTATAATAATTTATAGTAGATTTGAAAAAGGCATATGTTAGGGTGAACAGAAAAGCATTGTGGGAGGCATTACAAGTGTTTGGGGTGGAAGGAAGGCTATTAAATCCAATAAAAATATTCCATGAAAACAGCCAGGCAACAGTAAGAATAAATGGGGAAGAAAGTGAAACACTTGAAATAAATGTGGGTGTTAGACAGGGACGCATTATGTCCCGGTGGTTGTTAAATATAGACATGGATGTGAACTATTATACACTGATGAATGTGGTGGTGATAAGCTTTCTTACAGGGCTGCACAAATCTCAAATCCTGATTATAAGGGAGCCAAGTTGCCACTGTTCAATATAACTGGTGACTGCTTCTGTTTATGGTTGGGCTCTGAAACTCTAATTCTAATTTGTTCAGATCATGTATTACGTATATGGGCCCATCCCTCTTTCTCTCTCTGCAACTGTACTTCAGTGATTTCTTTTAAAACTTTCAATTATAAAAGTAGAATAGTTTTTCCATGCATTAAGATGAACTAAAACATAGTTTTTGCCTTTAAGCATGAAGGATGAGTTTGGACGACTGATCAAAGCTTGTGTTTTTCAAATTTGGCCTTTGCAGTGATTTTTTGATATGGAAGAGTATAAATGATTGCTAAATCATCCTGAATGTAATGCTTATGATTAATACCAAATAAAAAGTTTATAAAAAGAACTACAAATACAGTACTTATAACTCATTAAAACCAACATTATACCATTAAAAAAACAAAAATTGAAAAGATTTTTTATCTTTTTTAAACAATGTTTTTCTCTAACCCTGATTAATAATATACAAAAAACTCTCTAAAACTATTACTGCCTGAGTGTAATGCAGAGAAGTGAAAATCCAGCTTTGAGCAAAGTTCCTTTAAATTATAATATTTTGCCCCAGACACTCACTAGACATGGTGGGAGGTGATGAAGACTTGACAGAGCTTTGTGTGTTGTTGCATGAATGATACACATGCCTCATACCCTTTCCTGTTACAGTGTAGTCATGCTGACATTCTATTACAGTATAGTACTGTACTGCACTGTACTCTTAAGCCAAGAAACTGTTATTATCAGGCTCAGAACTTGTTATGGTTAGACCAAGAGCCTCTTATACTTAAACTAAGCACAGTAATGCACTTCATATAGTTGGGCCAAGAACCTGTTAAAGATAGATCAAGAACTTAAAGTATGGGTATGGTACGTCCTAATGGTCGACTAACTACCTTATTTTGGGGCATATAAGATGCACTTTTTTGTCCGAAAAATTACTAAAAATATCAGCCTGCATCCTATATGTGAAGTTGCTGTCTCCCATAGGCTAATGAATCCCCCAGGTGCTGTCTCCAGTAGGCTAAATTTATGAATGCTGGATAGACGTATGCAATTTTCTACATCTTTTTACTACTCGGTATGTTACATGCCCACTCAATCTTACATATACTGTACTGTATACAGATTGTGCAAAAAAAAAAATGCACTAAGTTTAAAACTCTTTTCAGGTCAAACACCGAACTTCATATTTCTATTATATAGGGAGAAAGAGAAAAAAAAATTATTAGGTTTCCGTTGCAAATTTTAATTTTTGGAGTATTTTGGACTTTTCAATAGCACACGGGTTAATAATTGGCTTTTAACCATTCCTCTTCTAGTGTTTTTGACTACCCAAAGATGTTATCTTTAATTTATGAATCGATATTTAAGAGTATCATTTCTTGTGCAAATGCTTAGCTTTTAGGCCGTGGATATTTTGCCGCGACTGGCTAAGTTCCTACTAATGCTATTTTAGCATGAGTGCGCTCTGATTAGCTAATAATCCATTTCCGGCAAACAGTGTGATAACTATATTTGACCGTGACTGGCGGCATTTCGCATTTATTTCACTGCGAGTTGGTCGTTGTGTAGCTATAAACATACCTAACCAGAAGGAGTTGTTCGATTTTGTTAATTTTTTCCACAGATGTTCTTATCATTAAAAAGAGGTCACATTTACTAGAACCTAATAGAACCTGACCTAACCAACCAGATACCTTCCTAACCTTACCTAACTTACTAGCCCAGGATAAGGCCTTATGTCATATTTAACAGAAAGTATTTAATCAATCAGAGTGCGCTTACAGTAAAATAGTGTCAGTAGGAACTTAGGTTATTTTTCATTATCCACCCAACACCTTTTATTACATGTAAAATTAATTTTTTGGCTAGTTTTCTTGCTGTTGTAGATGATTTTGACATTTATCTTTGGGGCAAATCACTTCTTTTTTTTTTTAGGTTAGGTTGATTGGTTCCTATAATATAAGAATAGGTTATTTTGGGTGTGTTTTAGTCAAATCTGACCTCAATGTTTGTGCAAATTAGTGATTCTGTTAAAATGAATATGTTAATTTTTTGCAAAAAAATTTTAATTTGCAAAAAAATGGTCAGATTTGAGTAATACTACACCAAAAATAACCTATTCTCATACCAAAGGAACTAGCCAACCAACCTAACCTGACCTAACCTAGCTGAAAAAAAAAAGTGCTTTGCCCTAAAGACAAATGTCAGAATCATCTAAAGCAGCAAGAAAACTAGCAAAATATATATATATTTTTCATGTGAAAAAAGGTGATGGATAAACAACGAAAAATAACCGGAACTTAGTCAGTCACAATCAAATATCCACTACATAGTTTTGAAAATTAATGAAATCAAACTCCTTCTGGTGTTCGCAGTGTCCTCATACATTACCGTTATTTCTACTGTTAACTTTGTTCTCCAACAATACCAGTTGGTTAATCTGAAGTCATAAATCATATAAGGTAGCTCCTTGAAAGTGCTGGGTCCGGTCCGACTAATTACCCAAATGTAGCCACAATGAAGTCAAATGATGGTCCTACAAGCGTAAATCGGGCTGTGAATCACTTCTCGATTATTATTTGGTGTCATAAGTCACAAAAAATTGGTAAACTTAATTTAATCTGAGTTGTGTTAGGTTAGGTTAGGTACATGCACTCGATCTATTAACTCAGATTAAATTAAGTTTACCAATTTTTTGTGACTTCGTGACATCAAATACCAGTCGAGAAGTGATTGGCAGTCCGATTTATTCTTGTAGAACCATTATTTGACTTCATTGTGGCTACATTTGGGTAATTAGTCGGACCGTGCTGGGTCAGCGGTAGTGTTTCCATGTAAACAAACAAACATGGGACACACTTGGCCATCATTTATAGAGAAAAACTACTACATCAGGTGTGACCATTTTGTATATTATTATCATTTTATATTCAGAAGAATAGTATATCCCCCTTGAAATACGCATAACAGCGTAAAGTATTGTTGGCAATCAGAAAATACTTGTCACTCAAACTCCTACGACTCAAACCAAGAGCAAATAATAATTAGATCAACCCATTAAAACTAAAGACATACAGTATATAATCAGCTAGTGAATATTTCTACTTACTAGTACTAGTGCTGCTCTAGTGGGTATCAGACGCCTCCCTTTAACGGCCCTCACCGTCGCTGAAGCAACCGATGCCATGTTTGTTATGAAACTCCTTCTTATACACAGACTGGCAATTGAGTCAGCCAATACACACTACACCCCGAGAGTGAACACTACACAGGTAAAGATATAACTACTAACTAGGAATAATTTTGGTGTTCACAGCGAGTAACTAGATGGCGCAGGTAGTGGTCAGTCAGTACTCGCTAGCTAACAGAACACTTCACACCCAAGACATCCACTACACCCTCTTGTTATCATTTCACTACATAAGCAGTACATATTAAAAAAACAAAACAAAGATATAATTCCCTCTTAGTTGTAAGATTATTCACGATTGTATTGGCTTGAGGAATATAAACTATGTGTGCGCGTGTGTGCGAATGTAAATGTTGAATCAGCCCTTGAGATTTTTTTTTCAGACTCCTCGATTGTGACAAGAGTCATCATTTGATTAATTTTCTATACCTGGGGATATACGAGGTTAAGCAACATAGCATACAAATTTCTAAGTTGAATTTTGATAAACGGTTACGATAATCATTATTTATAAACATCATTGACGAGAAAGTTGCCTCACATACAAAGGTGCTTCCAAATTGTACCTGAACCTTGGTAGATCGATTTTTCACCCTTGAATGTCTGATAAAGTAATCTAAAACTTTAATATGTCATCATAGACGTCAAAATTCACCCTTGCCTCGTTGTCATCCTAAAATTTTACCATTTCGAGTGCAAAAGAGCCACGCTGTTTTACATGTCTTGAACAGAAACTGAACAAAACCAAGAGACCCAGTAAGCAACTCAGGGAATCTATCATTGAAATTTGCTGTCATTTTCTGTCCGCACCCGTGGGAAGTAGAGAGTGAACTGAGCTGGGAGCTGGGAACAGTTCAGTGGTAGGAGAGTGGAACTTATGTCTTGAAAGAGCTCACACTCGGTGCCGTCACAACACTTTCTGGTAGATTGTTCCAAGAGGTCACAACTCTCACTCCGAAAAAGTTTGCCCTCACAGTTTTCTGGACTTGCGGCTTCTTCAATCTTGAGCTGTGACCACTTGTGGGGCGAGCGTCCCCCAGCTCCAAGTAAGGACACTCGGCTGAGTAGTGCCCCTTGAGATGCTTATACTGTAGTGGACTCCATCCCCTACAAGGGACGACTGAGCCCCCGCGCGCCTACCAGCCAATCAGCGTACAGTTCAAGTTCAAGTTTAGAAGCTCCAAAGTTGTTGGTAGCAAAAGGCAGAGCGGGGAAGATGACAGAGGAAGGAGCAGGAGGTTAGGAAGGGAATTGTAGTGGGAGAGATAGTGCCGTGGCTTTACACGACTGCGTTTATTTGGTTAGAGCATAGCGCACGTATTTGGTTTTTTGTCTGTGTTGGGTGTGTGATCCTCGGGTCACCACTCCTCCGGATTGTGTCAGTTCAAGTTTAGAAGCTCCAACAACTTTCCCTGAATACGAATTCGCAACCTTTCGATTTACAACAGGTACCTACTTTACTGCTAGGTGAACAGGGACCAAGGGGGCTAGGAAGAGTGTCCAAACAACTTCCGCTTGCTCGGGAATAGAACCCGTGACATCTTGCTTGCGAGGCAAGAGCGGTACCGCTTCTACCAGCCATGGCCGTATTTATACAATTTACGAGGATCAGGATTTGGGGTGAGCGCAGCGAGAGGGCCAATCACAGAGGAGGAGGCCATGCACACCCGGCACTCTGGTCCTAGCGTTGCTACGTGTGCGTCCGCACTGGGGAGTAGGTCTACCGGCACCGCTGGCTGTACGCTGGGGGCGCTTGTGGTAGAAGCGGTACCGCTCTTGCCTCGCAAGTAAGATGTCACGGGTTCGATTCCCGAGCAAGCGGAAGTTGTTTGGACACTCTTCCTAGCCCCCTTGGTCCCTGTTCACCTAGCAGTAAAGTAGGTACCTGTTGTAAATCGAAAGGTTGCGAATTCGTATTCAGGGAAAGTTGTTGGAGCTTCTAAACTTGAACTGACACAATCCGGAGGAGTGGTGACCCGAGGATCACACACCCAACACAGACAAAAAACCAAATACGTGCGCTATGCTCTAACCAAATAAACGCAGTCGTGTAAAGCCACGGCACTATCTCTCCCACTACAATTCCCTTCCTAACCTCCTGCTCCTTCCTCTGTCATCTTCCCCGCTCTGCCTTTCGCTACCAACAACTTTGGAGCTTCTAAACTTGAACTGAACCAGGAAGACCATTCTACTCTGACCTACAGGACCAGCAAGATCTCTCTCCAGCACCTCACCACCCAGCTTCCTCAGAGAGCTCCTCGCCCTACAGGAACTCTGAGCAAGCTACACCTCACCTAGTAACTCCTTAGCACTACTCTGTACAACAATATATATACAGAAAGCGCATTTTGAGTTTCCTTCCTCCATCCCATCGTGAGTGTGAACACAAACACAAAATATACCCCACAATACACCTCAATTAGGTCACCCCTTGCCCGTCTGTAGTATAAGCTAGGCAAGTTCAGGCGCTCCAATTAGTGTACATGATATTCAAGCAGGGCCGGATTAAGCTTAATAGGGGCCTGAGGCACAGATCAACAAAATATACCAAAATTTATCAATGATTTCATCAATATTAAGCTTCTGCAAAATAACACATTCAATGTTCATAAGAGACAGAAAATTGTGACGTTGCTGGGACATCGTTGAACAAAGTTCATGTTTTATATGCTTCAACTTCGAGAATGTTTGGATTTGGGGGCCCCTTAGAGTCGGGGGGCCTGAGGCCAGTGCCTCAAGTGCCTCATGGTTAATCCGGCACTGAATTCAAGCCAGAATTTGTTCTCGGTAAAGTCTCTGCTCTTAGTAGTAACCCCCTCCCCCATTCTCAGAAGCTGCAGCATTTGCTAAGTACACTGTATTTTGCAAGGTGTGGTTAGAAATGTCATTGTTTACACGGCACTCTCCTCCTCTTGTCTGGTAGGTCGAGCTAGTGCCACCTCCTGGGTGGGGGGTAGAGCAGCAGGTGGAGGGTGCACTGCTGCCCCCTGGCCCTGTGTCGGCACACTTGCTCCCACTACCCTCCCCCTGAATATAACCCGTGTACACCCGTCCCCGTTCCTCCTTGACTCCTCCCTCTTCTGCTTCAAGTCCTGCTGGAGCTTCTTGCGCTGTTCCCTCTGCATTACTGTGCGATCTGGGTGAATGAATATACTCAGAGATGCCTCACTCCTTGCTAAGGTTTTTGCCTGCCGAATATCCTCCCATTTCTCCTCCTTACTCACTAGTGTGATCCAGAGTGGGTGCGGCTTATCCCCCTGCTTTTGTCCCAGCCTCCTCACATCCTGTGGGGTTGATGGCATCTTCAGAACCTCTGTACAAATATTCTTATCTGCATTTTATCGTGTGTTACCTTACTCTCAGTTCTCTCCGCCTGGCTCGCGGGGACTCCAAAAACTATTACATTGTTCCTGCGCTGAAAACGTTCCTGTTGTTCCTCCTCTCTCCTAACAGTAGGTCCATTAATTTTCAATTCTTCGACACACTTCTTCAGAGTCCCTAGCTGCTGTAGAACCGGTTCTGATCCTGCATTACTCTCCGCTACCTCCCGTGGCCCTGCTAATGCCTCAGCATAACTCCTCTTTGCAACCACCTCCATTCTATGTTGTATATTTTCTTGGGATGTTGGATGTTTCTGGAGGTAGGGTTTCCATGCTTGTATAATAGTATTCTCCACCACCACGCTACCCTCCTCCATCTCTCTTAGTGCGGACTCCTTTTATTCCAATACAAACAGGCAACAATTAAGTAGTAGTAGACTGCCACATCTGTACAATCGAAGCCTTAAATACTGTACTGTATACTGTGAATATATTCTCTTATATAGGCAGCTACCAAACAGGGAGGTACTTACCCTGGGAAGACATTGGAAGCATAATGTGTTGTCTAGTGGTATATAAATAAAATAAATAAAATAAAATAAAATGTAAATTTTCAACCATTTCAGTAATTAAAACATTCACTAACTTCTCCAACTTTTCCAGTACTGTAGAGTACAGTATATGAACTCTCCCATGCACACATAACACATTAGCACTATAATACCCACTGAAGCTTTCACACTGGCAGTATGTACAACACTAATGTTAATTCTTTCATCCCAAATTCCCATCCAATTACCAAGGGAGATGGCCTACCATGACTGTCATCCACAAACGGAATTCAAAATGGACAAATACCCGAGGTGTCTGGGCCAAGTGGTACTGTATATTCAAATGGAATATGTTGACCCTGGCTGCTGCTAGGGGCCTGTCTAAGAACACTACAAGCCCTTGGCAAGGTGCCTTATATACTAATAGGTACTGTACCTAGCTTAAGTGTAATTGCCAGAACACCTTTTAATTAAGGAACAGTACAGTTCTGTACTGTAACCCAAAACAACATACTGTACCTGGTAAAACAAAAGCCAATGCAAACTGCATGCATTTCTAAAGTGAGAAAAATTGATTAAGGAACTGTTAAGACACCATCTAGAAACAAAATTGAAGCAGTGCGTGATGCTAGTACAGTTCTGTACTGTAGGCAGTCCCATACTTATGAACAATATCCCAATAAAATAAATAAAAAAATTCCAATTGAAGTTGGTAACAATTTCAAATCACTCACCAGGATTACAGTAGCAGTACACTGTGGCAGAGACCAGAGTGCATCTGCTGTCATCTGTTGTGATTGCAACATGTACAGTCAACCAAAGATGCACTGACCCCACCCTGGGTCTCGTGCTTGCAAATTTACCTGGCAATACAGTACGTACTTGGTAAAGTAAGGCTGTATGTAAAGGTGATTGTGATTGGTGGATCTTTTGACGTTTCCATGCTGTACGAGATGACCACACCAGGAATGTACCACTTCAACTCTGATAGGTTCATGAACTAATAGCTTCTCATAACAACGGTAAATCCAGTGCTAGACTTTCCGGAATTATCGGCGGTATGGTAAAACGTCGTTGGGTCGGGTTCCATTATGACCGCATGCAAAACTGTGGAGCTATTCAGATGTTTAGGAACAGCATGGTAGATTTTCCAATAAGAATAAAGAATGACAATGTGGCATTAACCCAAAGTGAAGTAGCAATACAAATACAGTACAGATAAAAAATTTGGTTGCAAAATAATCTTATACCTTTACAATATCCACTAATTCTGCCAAACATATAATGCATTCCTATATGGCAACTCATCCACTTCCATGGTTACTGTAGTCCACGGTGTGTGGAACATTTAATATAACATACAGTTTAACTTATCTAGATATACAGTACTGACATTCTCCAGTCATATTTTAACAAATTAATTCAATATTGTCTACGAAATAGATAATTTTGGCCTACAGAATTAAGTACGAAATGTCTCGCATTCAGGCCTACCAACCCTTGAGACAACGAGAATGTTCAGTTGGAAAATCATCGGACCCCACCTATACGGTAGTAATTTTTACCGAGTGTACCACACTGTGTTTTCTACTTTAATGTACTTTTTCATTCATTTTTGGCTTCAAATAATGTCTGAGAAGCAAAAGATTAGTGGTGGTAGTGATGGAGCAGTTAAGAAGTGTCACACACTTACACTAGAGGTGAAATTAGACATAAAACGTGTAGAGACAGACTGACCAACAGAAATGGGGCATTCTCTGCGAGAACACCTAAGTGTAACGGTAAAATTCAACTTACAAACAGGGTCCAGGAAAGTGACTCATTCGTAAGTGAGGGACTGCCTGTATTGTGTTCCAAATTTGAAGCATATCAATAGAGGTCTTATTTTCATCCAAAATGGGAGATCCACCAAAATTGTAAAACTTAGTTCTCAAAATAACCACCAAAGGACAATACAAGTACTGTACCATTTTACAGGTAACCATTGACTACCTCAAGGACTAGCAACCCTGCCTTGCAAGCTATGAAGGCACTTGGAAGTCCTACATACAGTACAGGGTCTATTTCCCAATCTGTAAAAGTGAGTTGGTGATAGGAAGGGCATCCAGCCATAAAATTTGCTTCCAATTTGCCTGATGGCAACCAGGACACCATGCCATCAGGTAATCATGACTAATCATGGAAAATGGTCCTAAAACAGTAAAGGTATAGATGATGTGTAGTTTCAAATTTAAAGTAAAAAATTGTGACTCTGCCTGAGGGATAAAATGATAACATGAATCCCAAGTCTGGGATGCCAAATTACACAATACACAAACTGTTCTCCACACAAGAATGCAGTTAAAAAAACTATATACAGTGTTATCAATTTATTGGACTTTTCTTGTATTCTCATAGGAATGAATCCATAGTATTCTTTTCAACAAAACTATAAATTACAAAACATCAAATAACATCATATTTAATGGTGTGGTAATGGACATTTGCATTCTCATTTCAGCCAGTGGTTTACAAGATGATACCCAAACAAATTAGGGGTATTCAACACAATAACAATTAACAGGTTGTCTGTAGCCAAGCCTTGGTTACATTCTAGTAATCATGTCAGTAGCAATCTTTTTAATGAATTTGTTATAGTACTTCACAAAATAAATCTTTAATTTCTTGAAAGTGCATAAAGTAGAATACTCTGCAAATGGCAGTAAATAATTATGGCAATAAAGTAAGCGTTAAAAACATTCATAATTTCCTTCATTCTAAATATATACCACAGACAGTACTTAAAAATACTATCTAGTACAGTGAAATTGTGAAAGGGGAAAAAAATGTAAAAATCATAAGATTTCATCCTTAATAACCATAATATAATTCCAAATTTCCTTACCATAATGACTGAACACATATGGGATGAAAGGATGATGGACCTGTTAGATGCAAGGGGAAGGATTGGTTTGGTCTACTTATCATTTGCATAGTACAGGCCATGTTATGCATCTAATTAAATGTCTGGTATATACACTGCTAACTAGAATGTCATTGTGTCAGATTACACAGGAGTATAACTTAAGAATATTTCTTAAATTATGAGAAAGGATAGAAATGTAGTGTGTCCATCAAAGAGCCAGATTTGAAAAAAAATTTCCCTCCATTCACCTTCATATGTTTTCATAGAAAAGTGTGAAGGTAAACACAGACAAATCTTCACAATGATTCAATTGTCTAATACTATTACTCTATGCTTGACAAAGATGTGTACTGGGATCTGAAAGTACAGAAAATTTTGAATTTTTTGCAATGTGCAAATAGGAAGATGCTGGCCTTCGATATGTCCTGCACTTTCAAAACCCACAAAAGGTGACAGCCCCACCAAGTCCATTTTATGAATTGCAAAGTCCAGAAACCGTCCTAAGGCAGCAGCTGGTCAAACAGAGGAAGCATAGAAACATGTAGTTAAACAGAAGAATGTTCTTTTTCAATTCACAGCATAGGAATGCAACTAATGAGTCACAGAAAGAAGATATAAAAAAAGTTCCTGTGTACAGATCATGTAAATTGATTCTTTGGCATTTAAAGACAATATACATGAGCATAATTAACCTCTTCAACTTCTGCCAAACAGATTTTCCATCGAGACAAGTGCATCCATCACAGACATACGACAACCAGCCAGAATTGGAAATATAATATATAATTTGTATAGCAAATTGACAAGGAAAGATTTTCTGCAAATATCTATTAGAACAGTAGTACTGTATTCTGTTCCCAATAGTTTTACCTGCAGATATAAGATAATTGAGAAATTATACATACTGCTGGTCTGGTTATCAAAAGATTTAAGCACAATACTCTTAATGCTCAAGTCTAGTTCCATAGCACATGTGGGATAGGAGTGAACCCTAAGCCAAGTTTGATGCCCACAAATTAAGAGAGATATTTAAGTGACATTTCTCTTGCTTTTTATGTACTAATGCCCCATTCAGTAGCCATAATTTTAAGCTTTCAATTCACAACATGACTGGATCAACAAGGTCACAACTCTTCTGTGAAAACTAAATAAGTCTAAAAAAAAGGTAATCTTTAATTAATAAAAAAATTAAAATTCCATTAATATCACAGTTTATACAATGGAATCAGTTTTCAACTGATTATATTGGGCTTGTACATTTGAGGCAGACTACCAAATCCTTCAGTTCAATGGAAGATAGCTAGCAAATCACTAAATTATTGTGCATCAAATATGAGAAATATTACCCAAATAATTTCAGACTTCCATTGACCAAAAAAAAAAAAGAGCTACAGGTTCACACATGACTATCCTACCCCCACTTGTGGAACTAGCACATTTCATACCTTGGATTTGGCCATTCCATACAATGCCAAATTCAGGTAACATACTGAATGTTATACTGCAATGACTTGATCAAACATATACAAGTATACTATTTTCAGTTGGATATGGAAAAGTTACTGAAGGCAACTGTACTGACTTCATAATAGATGAATAGAAATCAATGAGCCAAGATTTTAGTTACCACAAGAAAATCAACATACATACAAATTTATAAATGTGTAATATTATAGTGGTTGTAACATGACTGGTTGCATGTCATTGCGATTGTTCCAAAAGGAACTAAAAGCTTGGTTCACTTGGTTCTTTTAGGCACTGTATACACTTAATCCTAAGAATTCTTGTATATTTTTCTGGTTGTCTTCAAAATAAAATTGAAGCAACAGAAGCAAGGTTAGCAATATCAACATATGCCATTCTCTTCAACTATATTTTAACGTAAATAGCAACACTTTTGGAAGGCTATCCAAAGAAAACATAAGAAATATCACACACAGAAAATACAAACAGACTAACAAGAAACAGACTAACATGGGTTCTATGGTATGAGAAAAAATGTAAGTTAATGACAACCACATTTTTAATAACTAGGTAGCCTCTTTTACAATTTCTTAGCCACCACTTTTCATTGTAAATAGTTTGTGTTTCAAAAGTCAGTTATCACATAAGGCAACACTATCAATGGGTCATCCTGGTAGCCTTTTTTGACAATCACTTCATGCCACTCTCTGAACTTTCCATCCGTATCAAAATTACCATTCTGACAGTCCAGATTAGTTGTATGAAGTGTATTTATATCCTCTGAGGGTACCTGTTCAGATTGTCGCACTAATTTCTCCATTTCATCTTCGGAGTCACTATGTTCGGAGCCACTTTGATTCTCGGCACCCTGTTCTTGTTCATAAACTTGTTCTTCAGGGTCATCCCATACAATACTTGAGGTGTCAATTGGAGGAAGGCGTGCCAGTATCTCCTCGGCAGTTTCATGAGGCATGACACCAAGGAGATCAAGATTACTTGGCGTCATAATTGGTGGAGGGAGGTCTGGTGGGCCACGTGATGGAGAAACCGGGGCACTTGTGGTTCCTCTGGCCTCTGTTTCTGAAGATACTGAGCCTCTGTCTTCATCAGCACTTGGAAATTCTTCAAATGCAGGACCAGGCTGTGAACTGAGGAAGCGCTGCAAGTGGTCCATTTTGTTACGAGTGACAAGTGCATTATCAGTCGTTCTACCCATGCCAAGAGTTGTTGCAGGTCCTGGAAAATCCCGCACATGTTGTTCTTCTAATTTTGTTGCTCTTTCTGCTAATTTACTATCACCTTTTCGCTCAGCAAGTTCCGCAACAATTTGAGACGTTGTTTTTACTTTGGAGGCCTTAGTAGACATTGGAAGGGCAGCCATTTTTTGATGAAGCAGGTCTGGGGTATTTGTAGCATGAGGTGTTTCACTTATGTTTGGTTTTCTCTTTGAAATAGCATGTATATTGGCTATTCGTCGCATTTTACTAGTATCACTACCTCCACTAGTTATTTTAGAAGTACACTCATTACTAATTACACTGGAAAAACTTTCTCTACTATCTTCATCAAAACCATTGGTTACATTGTTTCTAGGTCGCTTGGCCACTGGAATATCACTACTAGATTCCTCCTCATCTTTTCTTAATCTTTTGTTAGCTGTATTAGTTTTCGCTACATTTTCAGTACTTGGGGCATAGGAGGAAGCATCTGCTCTAGATGGCTGCCGCATGCTGGGATTAACTGCCGGTGAATGCGGGCGGGACCGTGGGCGGGCAGGTATTGCTAAAGGGGGAGTGATGGCTGGTGACACTGTCGCTAAAGCAGGACTTAGCCCTGGACTCAAGACACGCCCCCGGAGTAAGGCAGGAGATGCGGGTTTGAGTGGGCGGGATGAGTGGGCGGTGGTTAGGGTAGGAGATGCCGTGCGAGTCCGCTGGACCAGGGTGGAGGGAGTGGTGGGGGCAGACATTCCTGGACTTGTGTTGCCACTGGACGGTAAGGAAGATGGTGAAGTTGGAGGATGCCCATTACCCGCCCCTCTTGCGCCTGTCCCAGTAGACCCCGTCCCGCCAGGTCCAGGCCCTGGTCCAGCTGCCCCATTGACTCCATCTGCCAACACTTCCTTACGCCACTTGCGTACAAGATCTTTAGATCGCCGATAAAGCTCTTGGTGATTCGTCTTACGACGGATATTGTTGATGTGTCTTCCTAGTCGGGTGGACTGTAAAAGAAAATAGTATTTCAGTACTGACACAGATACAGTATACCGTACTGCACATAATACAAACTTACTACAATGTTGTTTAAACAGCTTCAACTGGAGCAGAGCTATCAAGGGACTTGACTATGACTGCAATTATGACCTTTTTTTTTTTGTAACTCGGCCAGGAACCTTAAACATTTTATATAGATTGTCGAACTGTTACACATTTATCGAAGGAAGCGAAGGGAAATAACACTTAGGTTAAGAAAATATAAGAGTTAATGGCAGCGGAGAGCAACAAAACAGCCAATTGCAATGGGCTAGCAGACGTACCCATGAGCAAATTTTTATACACAATTTTGTTAGCTGAAACACATTCGTCTATTTTTTTGTCATATTTCAACTTTATGTATGATATTAAGAGTAATATGATCCCTCTTCACACTATTGCATCACCATCAATGTAGCTACAGTATATTTTCTGAGATTAAAAAATTTACTCACAGAATTGGCAAACTACAGTATAAGACAACAGGGCATGAGACAATGACTGCATAGGTGCACATATACGAAAGTGACTAAACCCCCAAAATCATGGTTGAATTTCGGAGTGCACTTCAAATCTCACACTGCAGATTCTCGAGTACAGGTACAGTATTACGGATTCTTCAATTTCAGATTTCTGAGCTTTGACTACAGTATATGCATGTATAGTACCGCCTTCTTTCAATTAAAATACTGTAATTACGGTACAAACTTGACAAACATTTATTGTTCAATATGTACATTACTGAAAAATGCTTGTAAAATGTAACAAAAAGTATATTATTAATCCACAATAACACGGTTTTACTGGATCATGGATTTTAAGGTTGATGGACTTTGATTTGGATAGAAATAAACTAGAATTTTCAGGAGGCTTTTAGCTCTGACTGGAAACTATGTCCTAAAATCTGGCCAACATAAATTAAGCCCAGCCTGCAGTGTGGATTATATGATTCACTCTAGGTAACAAGAATGGCTTATAGGGGAGGAAGGCCAGAAATAATTATTTTTCCTAACAACCTTTTCTGTCATTGTGTGTTTTCAAGAAAGGTCCCTTGCCATTAACAATGCTCTTTTAGTGCACTAACCTGTGTCGTCATAAGCCAAAATAATTCATATAGCATTCAGCAAATTAAATATTGAATAACAGCTGTAATAAGCTCAATTCCCCACATGCAATGTACAGTAGCCTAGAGGCCAGCCTGGTGATTAAAAGAAAAGAAATCGGTACACTTGTCAAATGTCTTGGATTTTACTATACAGTAATAACTCTGTTAGCCGGAACAATTGGTGCAGAGCACTTCCGGGAATGAGAGATTTCCAGGTTATGAGACGACTCTCTCAAACTCGGGAAAAAAATTCCCCATCTCCGGAATTTTCTGGGTAACGGAAAAATTTTCTCGGAAGTTCCAGAATTTTGCCCCTTACAACATCTCTCGAAACCGGAGAAAAATCCCTCAACCCCGGAATTTTCCGGGTACCGGGAAATTTTTTTCAAAATTTTCCGGAAAATCTTTCCCAAAGCCGCAATTTTCCGAGAAAATTTCAAATTCGGCTATCAGAGAGTTCCGGGTTTGAGGAATTCCAGCTAACGGAGATATTACCGTAATATTATAACTCTCCTTATGCTGGGGAGGTTAAATAAGTACAGTATTATGTTTAGCTCATGGCACCGTAAAATTCTCACCTCCAGGACCTCCTTTGTAATAGGTGTCCTCTCCAACTTGCTGATGAGGTCCAGGCATGCTGCCATATCTGTGACCTGTAAGTATATACATAATCATTAGTTTTCATTCAGAACTCTGGAGTAAAATAAAGGCTGAAATAAACAGGCAATCACAAGCTCAGTTTTATAGGCAGTCCCTGATTTACAAAGGTTCAGTTTGAGAAAACTCAAATTTACCAACAAATAAATTTGTCCAATAATTCAGTTTATGAACGAAAAATCCAGTTAAACAAATTTTCTCGTCATTTTTGTAAGTATTCCTAATTACAGTAATATAAGTAAAATACTGTATGCTAAAATAATGCAGTTTTTATTGCCAATATATACTTACTTATTTCACTACCGTAACTTGTATTTATCATAGATGTAGGCAGTGTTTCATACTACTCAGCATGTACTGTACAATAATTCGTTGTTTATTGGGTTATAATCTAGGTGTTAAAAAAAAAAATTATTAAACATGTCTTGTGGCATTTCAAAACAATTTGAGGAAGCATTTTTTTCATTGGAACATATCTCAGCTTTTACAATGGGAACCGATTGGAAATTTGGATCAGATTTACAAAAGGTTTTTCAAGAAAGGAACCCTTTCATAAATCGGAGAATGCCTGTACAGTATTATTAAAAAAAATAAAAATCTAGAGAACTGTTAGGTGCTGTAATGTACTTAATATACCGTGAGAAAACCGATACCAACATTTTTTTTATGTATGGAGATTAGACTATCTGGGTATAGTTCACCGACCCAAATTGGGGCTGGGCAAAAAATATTTAAATTGAATCCATAAATACAGAAATGGAAAAAAATAAAAATAAATAAATAAAGAGTGAGAACTGATATATGTTCAGTATGTTGCATTGTCAAAGTAAGAGAAACAATTGAAACCCTGTAATTGTGTGTAAATGAGACAGAAAGTCAAGTCAGATCAACTTGGGACTTGGTCACAATTTTTGTCATGTCAGGTGGCAGCAGGGTCTAACCATTAGACCACACATTATGCTTCCAATATCTTCCTAAGCAGTAGTACCTCCCTGTTTGATAGCTGCCTACTACTTACTTAAAGATTTGTGATAGTAAATGTAGCAAAGATTTAAGTGTTTTCTATACTGTAACATGACATGACTGCAAATTATCTCAATCATAATAAGTTTATTCAGAATACTGTGTCTTGGGAGAAATTTATTTTTACAAATTACTAAAGGAATAAAAGTTAATCATAAAGTAGGAGACCAGTGGCTTTTAAAGATTGGTTCCTTGGGAAAATGTTCAATCAAAGTTACATCAACAGAGAAAATAATGATGGAAAATTCAGTACTGTAAATCATCATTACGTTCCCAGGCATGTGCTCCAAGCCAACTCATGGTCTATCTCTGGCCACATTCAAATTACTGTACATTGTCTTTGTAAGTCCACTGTTCATGTATCTATACTATACCACTATCTGTCTAATTATTCCTAATGCTTGCACTACCTCCACTTCACCACTGTTCGTTTTCATAATAAATATCCCACAAATTTAACTTTTCTGCCTATCTCACACACCCTTTAAAGATCATAAACAGTATAAAAAAACTTAGCCATTACTTTCAGAAATTTCAGTTTACATCTACATTTTACTAAATTGCATATGAAAGCATCAATTAAGATAAACCCTCTGCAATGTGACCAAGTACCCTTTCACTCTCTTTAATGAAAAAGGGTTACTGTATGTCTAACCTTCAACAGTTCCTTCCCTACCTGAATGACCTACCACGGCTCCTCAATATTGCCTCCAGAGCAGTGTCTACTTTTAACTGTCCTATCAATAACTAAAGTTTTTATTGCATATTGTCCCATTATTTTTTATAAGAAGGTTAATCTTGAAACATGGGTAGGTCTATGAAATGTATTTTAATGACAAACATGTTATTTAAATATAAGGAAGACGATAAGTCTTTATACATTTCTTTTTCAATGAATGTTTTATAGTAATAGGAATGACAAGTTTATATTTTGCACATCAGAAATCTCATTTACAGTGAGTGCAATCTTCAGGAGCAAGAGGTTAACCCAAATAAATAATATGACAACCACTATGTCATAACAATCAATGCCACAGGAAAGTGAAGTGGCATATAGTAATTCAAATTCCTTATACAGTACACAACATTACTTGTGTTATATAATGTTAAAGTTTTTCAAAACTTAAGCTACTGTATCGCAATAAGGTTACCGGGAATTATATTTTGATCAACCATACTAGTACAGCACCGTACTGTACTGTACTGTACTTTTTACGTACAAGTTATCAGTTTAAATCTAGATACAGTAGATACTACCTGTATTATACAGTAGTTCTGTTTTCACACAAACCCTTTTTGACCATTGACAACATTTACTTCAAAAACAATAAGGATCATCTTGCCCCAGGGTAACCATAAAGGAAGTCTAGTTATGTGAAGTGATATAGAAATCAATTACAGGTGTTAACATCAGGTTCTGTATTTTGAAACTAACAGTTCTTCCTTTTGCAAATAAAAATTCACTGCAATGAGAAATGACATCTCAAAGGTTTAAATATAGATGATGCCTTGTTAAGTATTCACAAGAGCTCAAACAGCTACACAAGATACTGTACATAGAACTTCAGAGGAAAACCCTAACAAGGAAAATATAACCAGAGATAATCCATCAATGGGAAATAAGACAAAACAGTACAGTTGGGTCGTGATATATAGCGATTTTTTTATCGTAACTACCAAAAATCATCGACATTTCGCAATATATAGCGATAAACCTATTTATTTCGCAAGGGAAATCGGGCAGGAAATATTTCAAATTTACCGCCTTGGCAAACAAATGCGTTATTTGCTCACAAGAGGCGCCACCGTGGCTGCTCACTCGTACATTCACGCTCGCCCGCACAGTCTTTCTGATTCAGCAGCCGACTCTGCTGCAGATTCCGACTTCTAAGGTGAGTGTAAATGGGTTGCTAGTGACATGTGAAGTGAAGAGAATGGAAAGCTTAATGGAAAAGATGTAATACTGTAACTAATATTTTTGGTTTGTTCGTTTATGTAGCTGTGGGATTGTCAAGTGAGGGTAGCAGTATGGCGTCTGGTGTTGCCAGGATGGCGCGTCAGCTGCCGAGTCTGGTGTTTATTAGTGCTTAAGAAAATAAACTAATTAAGTCAAGTTTAGTCACCTTTATTGGCCTCCAGAACCTAACCCTATTTTCCCAATTGATTATATGCAATTATATATCGCGATTTGGTATATGGCGAACATCCTTGGACCCCAACTCGCGATATATCCCGATTCTACTGTGCGGTTCCGTGCTGTACTCCCAAAAGAAACAGACAAAGCTACAGCAAGAAAATAAAGATTTTTAGTCATACAAGTCCTTTCCCATTATACACACATCTAAAAACAGGTTCCTCTTACAAATTATTACTGTGCCAAGGTTAGATAATTCAAGGGTCATAAAAAAAAAAAAAAATTGGCCGCCCATAGTCAACCACATTTTTACTTGGGTATTCGATTATGTTGTACAGTACAGTATCAAGTTTTAACATGTCTGTCACCTTTGGCTTCATTCGATTCATTGATTAAGACCAGGTGAAAAATATGTTTTTGAATCTGGCAACTATGGCCAACAAATAGTTCCAACAACACTTGAGACTTTGGCCTGTCGCTTCTCAGAGAATGCAATAAATCACCTCCTAAATAAACAGTAACAGTGATACTGAATACTGATTGTCACTTTAGTTCTGTATTATACTCACAGATGTCTCAGCCTAAAGTTTTTCTTCATGTTAAAACTCCAATTTAATAATTACTGAAATAGAGTACTGTACTGTAATGTATATACAATCATAAAACTTTATGTCTAGACCCTCAATATTGTAAAACAATACTGAACATTAGCTACATAAAGAAGAGCAGAACTAAGACTGATGTGTCATTTAGAACTCTAGCTTATCAGAGATAAGAGATTTATCATCATGCATCACCATATCACTATCTATATGGTGATCATACCAATATTGTTGGGTACTTATGGCAGTAAGTAGGTCAGTGACACTGAATGATGCTCCTTGAAAGGAAGACCGGATAATTTTCTATGTACTGTACTTATCCTGGCCTAGTTTTGTAACACAATCTAGTAGCACCTCCCACCATCCATGTAGGAGTCAGTCACTATCATCAGTTACCATCAATAGTAGATATGAAGTTGTTTACAAGACCATGAGGTACAAGATGATGACAATTATGCATGGCAAATACTGTACCAGCTGGCTCCTCACCGATTCATCATCAAAACAAGAGGAGCAGGCCTACCAATACAGTACTGTACACGACACTTACTACGTGAATACTTTTTAAGTTTCACCTGACTTTTCAGATTGTTACGCACAGCACGGGAAGAGATACATAAATTTTTTGGGCCGATTGTAGATACAGTATTCAGGACCTGCATTCCTTCATTTCTTAAATCATCAGTTTCAATAAGTTTCTTTCTTGCAGCTTCTAATTCTTGTCTTCTCTCTGACACACCGTCATTAGGCTTAGATCAGCTTCCTGGGCAGCAGTGGATCATCTTTGCTCCAAGGAGCTGGCTGACATTTGAAACAGCTCACAAGGTTTATGTTTCACAGGAAGTTTTTCAGGTTTGCTGGTGTATTTATACATGAATGATTTAGTGCCTTTACAACCATTCAAAATCTTATCTCACCAGACATAGGAGTTTATCTTGTAGTTAGGATCAATTTAATCCCACTGAAAGAGCACTCAACATCAGCATGTCCATGTGTGAAATGTGAGACAAATTTCTATCAAGATGGTGAGACTCAGATACTTCAACAAACCACTCGACAGTTTGGTAGAAAATATCCGAGCCCCAAAAGTGATGCATGTGCATGTCACCTCCCAGTTTGAATCTCCATAGTCATCACTTAAATTCATTTCCTTCATCTATATCTTTAACTTGAGAAGTTGGCAGGTTCCATTTATCTGGTAATTGGTAGACTTTGAATGCCTTCCATTCATCAACTGCACAGTCAACTTTACCTCAAGATAATCTTTGAAGAGCTTCAAATGACCAATCTTCTCTCAATATAATATACAGTACAAAACCTGTAAGTCTTTCAAGATGGGGTTTCTCAGAGGCTGACTCATTTCTAAAAAAATTAAAAAAAAAAAAAAGTTGTGTGAGCTTCTTTGAGAAGTGCTATTTGTTGTTTCAGAAATGTTTTTAGTGTCTTATTAGCTTCATGTCCAATGTCTAGCTTTCACATGGTTTTTGGCTACAGAGAAGTCAACCTTGTAGAGCAGAGCTCCTTGCTTGTCTCCCACAAAGTAGTGTTTCACAAAACAAGAAAGGAATGTGACGACCAGCACTGACAATTCATCACACGATATGAATGAGATGAGCTTCACACTGAAAAAGCATTGTCAGCTTTGTAAACATGGGCAAGACTGACTTAAAAAATTACAGTTCAACTAGAAGAATCTTGTTATTCATGACACAAATATCTTGCACTTCTCACTTTTCTATCTATCAGTACCTGAAAGAAGATTTTTGTGCCGAATGTAGAACTTAATTGCAGGATACTGTTCCATCAGAAATTCTGTAGCATCTTCAAGTGTAAGCCATCTATTCTGTACAGGTCAAAGGAAAACATGCTTTGTAATATTGAACTTGTCCTGAACGTTCTCAAAATCTTTACATCTCACAGGTGATGCTTTGAATAAGTAGGAGTGTAATACCAAGAGATTCAAAATAATTCCCAAATGAATCCTTGGCAGATGAGAAAGCGTTGTGAACCTTATGAATATTGCAGATAGCAATTTCAAAAAGATATGCACCTTAGAAGGCTTCATGTCACTGGCATATCAGCATAAATAGGTTTATATTATTTTTCTCCATCT